AAATGCAATATTTTGTTTCAGATATATGTTGTACCATAATAAGGTATTCCAGCTTAGACTATCACAGATGACAATGAATGACAAAAAAATAACCCTTGTGATTGTATGCAAAAGAAATGATTCCAAATTGATTATAGAAATGTTTCTTCAAGAATAACTCAAACAATCTAACATTTAACAGATCATGATGGACTACAGTGGGTTCTAATAGAAGCAGAAATGAGAACTGAGGACCACAAGAATGTGCTATTTTCCTAGATGGGTCAGGAAGAGGAGTAAATATTCAATGCAACAGTGATACCATGTCATGATTGATGACATGGTATCACTAACCAATAATTAAACCCCAAGTGGACAAGGTGAACCTCACTTGGGCTTATATGGAGGAAGAGTGGAGAGTTATTTGCTTACATGACAGATTGGTTATTAATTTGTGTGGGGTCCATTTGTTTATTTTTTTTAATATTATTGGAGGATGATACCACATCACATGGATCACATTGTCATGTGGTATCACCGTTGTAATCAATATTTTCTCAGGAAGAACACAGACTCATATCACTCATTGGATTATGTTTCGCTCTCACATTACCATAAGTTTTAGTCAAATGGGCCATTCAAGTTTCTTCTATGATCCCCTTTTTAATATCATCTGCTCCTGTCACCAACTTGATAAAAATTCTCAATCACGTCACACTGTAACTGCTTTTGGGAGTTTCCTATCTTAATAAGTTTTAGTTAACTATCCTCCGTATTATCTACGATTGCCTTTTTGATATGAAACTCTCCCTTTATCAACTAGATCTCAATCACTCCACCAATGTCACTGCTTTGGGAAGTATCCAATTAAAAATAAAAAAAAAAAGTGTAAGTAAAAAAAAAAAATTAGTAATAACTTGTCTTAATATCTCATTTCAAAAAAAAAAAAAGGCTCTATATTTTTTCCTCCAACTTCGTCCATTCTTGCCACCTATTGGGACTCTGTTATCTGGTTATGCTCCGCTGCTTCAACCTGCTCATGCCACAGACCAACAGATGTTTAAAATTGCATGTGTTGTATTTTTCAAAAAGTAAGAATTTAATTCATAAAAGCCACTGAAAACCGACTTAATATTTTGTCAGCTTTTACTCAGAATTAATAAAAAAAGGGTTAGACCCTTTCCTGCAGCGTCAATACCAGCGTGCCCTCAATATACCTCCTAACCCTCCATCTTTAGGCCGCATATTTACAAGCAAGGACGGCACTCTCCAACTTCTCAGACACCCACAATATATTAGAAAGGAGTGTGATAGAAAACCTATCTAAAATAACATACTGATTAACGCATAGGAAGTGCTCCAAAACAACCTAAGGAAGAAAAACCTACGTAGACAGGAAATATACAAAGATTCGGTGTTAGAAAGAGCACACACCTCTCGTTGCTTCCTTCACTACTGGTCTACAACTCCAAAATGCCATCAAAATTAATTGACTAATGGAAACTTAACTCTTAGCAGGTCTTGTGTTCAGACCAAGACCACCCCATTCGCACTTCCTCCCATTCATCTTCTGTCAGTGGCATGAAAAAACTTTCCCGTCTTCTTCTCAGATCCATCACACAAAAACCCAAAGATGAAAGAACTAACCCAGCCCTCTAAATCACCGATGAATTACTACCTCCAGGAATTCTGACTTCTTCCATACAGCAACTTAACATATCAAAAAGACCAAGTGGTTATTATTTCAAAAATTCAATTTGCGCAACTCTTTAAATAGCTTTATAAAATCTAAGAGAAGAATTTGAAGGAAAAAAAGGTAAAAACAAGGAAACTACGACATATTCCTCCTTGATTAAAAAGGTTTCAACATGAAAATAAAACAAAACTCAATACGGATTAAACTAATTCAGTGACGCATTATCTGAACATCTTCCTAAAGGGAGATCAATTTTGAAGGAATTCAATACTAAAAACACATAGTTATAACTTTTTATGGCCCTAAAGGGGACAAATATAGATATTCGCTAATTTGTCCTTGAGTACAATACTATCTTATCTCCTTTTGAGAAAATAACCAGCTTTTATTCTGATCAACTAATATAATATGCATTCTTGAATCAAAATACGAAAATGATATATCCATAATGTAATGTGCATGAATTGCAAGAATTATCAAATTATAATTATTTGGACAGACAACACTTGACATCTCTACATGTACACAAATTGGAGAATACCCTTAAATGAAACACATGAATATCAAAAAATTTTGGATTGGCATACTAGTAACAAGTTTGATACCAGATGAATGAATCAAATGAACGCCTTTGATAATCAATGGCAGAGATAATAGAGAAACACCTCTGAGATTGACGTAAATACAGTACAGTGGCGAACACTTTGCTGCATGCTCAGGCAACGTAAAATATATCGATGTGCATCACTTAAAAGACGCGATGTGATGACTACAATTTTCGTCGGAGAATCAAATTCTGAATTCCAGTCAGATACCTAGAGAAAATATGGATCAATCAGTCACATGAATATCAAAAATCCACCAATAAAATAGTTAAAATACTATGTAAACAGTGAGTAAATGATTACACCATGAATTGTATACACTTAATAAATTTATTATTCCCCCATGATTGTATATACTTCTGATCCATCTTTCGCATAGTACATCCAATGGGTAGAAGACAACAATAACATTTTGGGGAGGGAAAGGCAGAGAGGGAGAAATGGTTCTTCCTTTTTAGGGTGGGGAGGAGGGGTAAAAGAAAGGTTCATCAAAAAGAACTCAGTCAACCTTGACAGTATTTCCTTTTGAATAAACTTACTATTGGATGGTTAGGTCTTTTGGTTACTCATCTTGCATGTTTTGCAGGATATGAGTTTCATGCAATCTCAAAGAAAGAACTTTCACTTGTGGAGTAATACATTAACAACTACCATGTACAAGGGGATAAAAGAAAAGATAACTTCTACATGAACCTAACTCAAGAGAAAACTAACAAACCATGAAGGTTTTTTTGATAAAAGAATAATTTTACAATAGAAGAAAGTTGAGAACAAAATACAATGCTGAGGACAAGATATCCTCAAACCAATGATCAAAATATCGTTTCGAAACGGTCAAAACGTTTCCGTTTCCAAAGAAACCGAAACGAATCAGTGATGGAATCGAAATTTTAATACTTCGAGGTGTTTTATAATGTTTCAAAATATTCTGTTATATTTCAATGCATTCGCACAGTTATTTCAGAATGTTTTAAGGTATTTCAAAATATTTTGGTATATTTCGACCAATGTTTTGAAAAAATAATTCTTAATTTTTTTATTTTTTTAAATTCTGTTTTCGGAACGGGTCGAAATATTTTCGAAACACGTCGAAACGTTTTCGTTTCCTAGGTGACCGAAATAATGCACCGAAACGAAATTTTGATCATTACTTCGAACAAAAGCAAAACACAAATCTTAATAAAAAAAACACTAAAAGAAATGAAACTAAAGGAGGACTACCTTCCAACTCGGTGGTAGATCTGACTAATGCAAGCCTTTAAAACTTCCCATGGTTTTAATCCAAAATGAAACCATGAACATAACTCTTTTAGTAAGTGTAATTTATTATAAAATAGAAAGTTTAATTTGATTGGTTGCAGGTAGCATCATAATTAAATAAAAACAAGATACTACGCACCAGGTTCCACAACTGGCTTAATGAAAAAGAAACACAATAAAACTGTTCTCACCATATCAAGAGAAGACATCTTTTCCAAGCTGCATACAGCACGCACTCCAAGTTCCAGTAACAGAGGGAATGCCCCAAGAAACTGGAAACACTCTGTACATCCTGCATCTATGTAAATAATCGAATCTTCAACTTCCTTTGATATCTGGATAACATGAGAAAGATTCTTAAACAAGAATAATCTGCTAGTTGCATAACAAGGAGGTTAGCAGGCATTAAATTATTACAACAATTGACTTTTCCTTATAAAAGACATGTATGCTGCCCTTGGAAGAATAGAAGCCTTTGAAATGGAACTGAGGCAAAATTAATTCATTTCTGAACAAATATAGAGAGCAGACAAAAAAAACAGAACAGAACCAAAGATCTGCAACATGGAGATTGGAGTAGAAATTTAGTTAAATTTAGAATAGAAGTAGACGATGAAGAAGATTATTTGAAATCAATTAACAAGAATGCATTCCAAGAGGACCATTAAAAGACAAAAGAAATCAATACTAAATATAAAAGAAAAAAAACTTACTAGTCTGATGGAATCAAGGCAACATTTGATCACATCAACAAAAGCCATGCTCTTAGCTACTAGCTCTCAGTGCATATCACAATTCAAAAATCTGCACAAGATCCAAGCATACTTTAGAGAGCATTTGTGGAAGTTGAACGACAACAAACTTATTTTAGAAAGTTTGGCAATTCTAGCAAGCGCATAGCGTAGTTCTACAATCAAATGCACCCGCAAACCCCAATTCTGAAATAATACCCAAAATCAAATGCACCCACAAACCCTAAATCACAACTCTAATTCTAAGGTCAGCCCATACATAATGTCATTAAAGCACGGGCTTTAAGCTCCAATTAAAAAAGAGACCCAAATTTATAGATCTATAACACAGTACATATCAAAAAATATAAGTGAAAATTAGAACCAAGTACAATATGGCAATCTATTTTGCCAAAAAGGACAGGCGAGAACTTATTGGGTCATTAAGGAGTAAAGACAAGGGATAAGAAATTTTTGGTAAGTAGTTCCAATGGGCTGTTTTCTTTTCTTTTTTTATATATATTTTTTATTCTGTCCTCTAACAGAATATGGCAATTTACACGCACAATTTGTTGCTAAATTTATGTAAATGTTGCATTGATTATATCTCTTTTCTCTCTACTCTCTCTTCCATCTATTATCTCCCTCACCTCTCTTTTATATATATACACACACACTAGTGATAACCCATGCTAAGCACAACAAGTGTTAATGCCTAGGACTAAGTGAAGTTTGTTGCGTGATGGGCATTTATCTTTTTATACAAATTTCAAGTGCAGCAACATATAATATTTGTGCTTTCGTCAATTTATTTTTACAACAAATGGTCATATTAATCCTAGTCGCATGCATGGCTCATCTCCTCTAATTTAAACAGTAGCCTAAACAAAAAAAATCATCAAACAACCACCAAAAGTTATAAGACATGATTAATTAGGAAACAAAAAATGACAAACTTTCAAAACAATAGCCTAATTAAAAATGAATTGTCCAATCAATTAACTTGAAATTTATGGCATGAATTGAGAAAGTACCGTGCAACTGTTTCACTATCATATTCTATACGGTTAGGGTACACTGGTTTATACCCCAGTTCTGCCTGAAAGTCTCCATGTATCAAATGATACATGTATCTATGAGCAATCAACCATGAACAATGTACATGACAGAAAAAATCCCAATGAACAATGTATATACCAAGGGAAAAAACCATGAAAAATGTATTATTCTCTAAATTCCTCTCTTTATCAAAGCTTTCTTCCCTCCCAAACAGAAACCCTACCTACCGGCCAATCAAAAAGATAAGCACTAACTGAAAAGAAAAATGTGATATGGGAACATTTGAGACAAAAAAGTGGGTACATGGGCAAGTAATCACGTGAACCTATATAGATTGTGGAATCAAGTTTAAAAGATATGCCACTACCACAACATCATGCCAACATAATCCAAATTGTATATTCATTAAACCATCCCTCAAATAATAATAAAGAAATATCATATCTAAATCAAATATATTCAAACTCATACCGTACAACCATAAAATCCATGATAACAAAAGCATTGAACAAACATGAAAGTTATAAGATATAATCCACTTAGTAAATGTCCAAGCACCATGAATAAAAAAAACTTGAGTGTAATAAACTCCACCAAAAGGCAGACCACGTTGAACAAACATGAAAGTCATAAGATATCATCCACTTAGTAAATGTCCAAGCACCATGAATAAAAAAAAACTTGAGTGTAATAAACTCCACCAAACAAGGCAGACCACGTTGATTATACTCAAATCGTTGACAAAACACGCCAACATTTGCACTAATTCCATTCTTAACAAAAGTTGCACTAGTCCATCTTGAACAGTAAACTAAAAACCATTAACATGCTAAAGTAGACCACTATCACCACCACCATTCAACCCAAAAACAACAAAAAACTATAAACTCAATCAACTTTTCTACTTAAACAAAAAGGCAATTTTTGTTCATGTAAAAGGTCCCAAATAGGCCACAATGACAACTCCCAGATTTTCTCACCAACATCGAAAAATAACTAGAATAAATCATTAACAACACAAAACCACCACAAAAAAAAAAAAAAAAATTCTCCATACTATTCTAAACATAAAAAAAACTTAGTTACTTCTCTTACCTTGTAGTGGTTGGCCTTTGGTGAATATTTGAACTCATTGTAAAAAAAATTTAAAACAGAGATAATTTTTGTCTCTGTTTTGTGATAAATACTAAAACAGAAAATATGTTTGGAAGTCATTTTTGTCTATCAAATTATGAGAATAAAAACAAAAAATATGTTTGGTAACTACTTCAAATTTTATCTTAAATATGTTTAGTATCTATTTGTCAATTAAATCCCAAATCAACACAACACACACACATGCATTGACTCAACACAACACACACGTGCGCACAGATCTGTGCATATATATGCACAACTTCTGGGTTTCACAAGGAAGAGGGAGAGAGTAGAGAGGAGAGAGGCAGCGCTAGGTTTCTCTGTATCGTCTGGTGGTCTGATACAGAGAAAGGAGAGAGAGAGAGAAGCAATGGGGAGGAGAGAAGGATGAATGAGTTTTTATACATCAACAAAAAAAAAGCCTTGTTTTCCTATTAAGAGGAGTCGAAGTCTAGATCTCATTAATTCCTGAGTCTTGTTGCGCGTGTTGTCTTTGTTTTTGGTGTTTCTTGGAACATCTTTTTTTTGTTCCCATTTTTTTGTCTTTGTTTCCATACTACTAATATAAAACAAAAACAGTACCCAAACATATTTTATTTTTATTTTTGACAAAAATTGAAAACAAAAACACAAAACACAAGATAAAGACAGTTACCAAACAACCCCGAAATTCTTGAACTCAACAAAAATGAACAACAATATCATTCAAATACCCAAAATCACGATTTAAGGTGCCCAAAAGCCTCCATTTAACACATCAATCAACACATTAATATAATTTTATTATATCTAACCTGTTCACAAAAAATTAAAATTATATATTTTTTTATCATCAATGATGGGAAACATAACTACAAAATTTGCATTAAATTGAACCTTAGAAAACCAAACATAAAATCAAACCTAACATAATTACATAATTCACATTAAATTAAAACTAATTACGAAATTCGCATCAAGTCGAGCCAACTTAAAAAATTCACATAATATCAAACCCAATGTAATACATCCTATATCTAGCAAGCTGAAGGTCTTGTAATTTGACACCATCTTTCATCAATATGCTTAATTAACATACCGTCAAGATGCTTAATAGTTCTAATGATTAAATATTCAGGAGTAGCAGAGAAATGCACATCAATTCTTTCCGATCCCAATTGTCAACATCTTTTTAGAACCCGAATACAGAGAAAGTAACATACAACCTAAGAAATAAATGTTCAAGCAAAACCCATAAAGTAGAACAAAAAAAAATTAAAACTTTAGATCTCAAAATAGAAAAAATATGATTAAACTTTGCATCCATATTGAACAGACTACAAGCAAAGTAGTTCTTGTAGATTTAATACGTGTGGAACATGTGAAAAGGAATTTAATATGTGTGGCACAAATAATTTCAAGTTCACTTCACCTTCATGCAATACAATTGCAAACGAATTTTCGTTACTTAACCGAAGAAGGTATGCATTGATTAATCATATAAATGTAGCAACTCTTTAACAAAGGCATCCATTGATTAATCCTACTAATTCAATAACAAAAAGGAAAAAACAAAAGGAATGAAAATATGAAATCTTACCTTAAAAGAGCAGTAATGGAGCCCCCAGCCCAAGACCTAGCCTTTCTTCTTCCAATTCTAAGCTAAATCAAACCCCCCAATCTTACGGTCCTTATTGTCTATGAATTTCCACAAAATTTTGCATTTGATTTTGACTCTAAGGCATGCAAAAAAATCACTGGTCAACAACATGTCGCCACAACTACTAAAACAAAACTAAAGAATCAAACAAGGGCACTTATTTAGGAAAAAAGATTAGGGAAGAGTAAAAGCAAACATAGAAAGTAAAATGAATGTTAATTTATGTTTTCAGCAAAATGATTAGGGAAGAGTAAACAATGGCACACACATGGGGAACCTATTACCCAATTCATCACAATCGGAAGCAATCCAGAAATAAAAATACACCCCCACACATACATCAAATCAAAAAAATATTCATTCAATCCTAAGAATATCATAATCTATACACATGCTTATGGACTAATTTCCCAAATTAACTGAAGTAACCACATGCAACGTATATAGACAAAAAGTTAGAAATGCTTCAACTTTTCTAACACATGTATTAGAAATTTGATATCAATCGTTATGTAAAATTCTAACCTTACCATGTATGCCTATAAATTATAGCTAGTTTTTTTAGGGATATACGACATAAATCACAATCTCCATAGAAACCCAAGAAAATTACACCTTCCAAACACCAAATTTTGTTATTTAGAACTCGAAGAACAAAAGCTTCACACTCAATTGAACCAACTAAATTACAAACTTCTTTAAGTTGAGCTTCCCAATTTTCTTGAAAAGGAGAACAACATAAAACAGAGACCACCAAGATTTATTTTTCTTTTCTTTTCTGACCCACTTTTTGAGCAACCAATTAGAAAATCCTTACACATAACCAAAAAAAAATAAATCATGAAGACAAATGTACAAAGAATAAATAAGCATCAAATGTCTACCTACTAAGCAAACAAAACTGTATTATTAGTGACAAACTCAAAATCAAACAAAGTGAAATAACCAATTAAAATCCAAGGAAGAGAATCCAATGATGCGCATCAAAAAGGAACATAATTTGAAGTTTTTAACCCATTACACCCACAAAAATGCGTACACAATAAATTCATGGTAAAGTGTGTAAATCTTCGCCCGGGTATTTTAACAATCACTTGATGTCCATTATAGATAATAGCAAATCAACATCAAACTAACAATAAATTTCAAATACAAATTTTACATCAAATTAAAAGGTTTGATTTTTTGGGTGATC